AAAACCTCCCCCAGCTAGAACTTCTACCAACTGCTGCTGAAGACGTTTGGCAGATGGAACATCAGAGGTACCTGTAATAACGTCATCAACGAAGGTATCATTCCTCAATGCCTCCGCTGCAGCAGGATACTGCTCAGCATTAAGTGCAGCTAGCTCGTGTATGACGCGCATAGCCAAATAAGCTGCAGGAGTGACTCCATATGTGACTGTAGTCAGCTCAAACTGTTGGATAGGCTGATCAGGAGACTCACGCCAGAAGATGATGTGATACTTGCTATCATCTTCATGTAGCTGAACTTGACGATACATCTGCTTTATATCACATGTGAACACGATAGCATGAGTTCTGAAGCGCAATATGATATCCTCGACATGCTGTTGTAACTTTGGACCAGCCATCAAAAGCTGATTAAGTGAAACACCAGAGCTAGTAGGCGCGGTAGCGTCGAATACAGCACGAAGCTTAGTGGTGCTGCTACTTTCCTTTAATACACCGTGGTGTGGAATATAATAACGATCTGCTGAATCGCCCGGAGTAACGAGACGCATATGACCTGCTTGAAGGTAATCTCTCATGAACTCTATGTAGAGCTCTCTGAGACGGTTATCCTTGCTGAGTTTCCGTTCTAAGTTATAAAATCGCTTAAGAGCATTATCAAAACTAGAGCCCAGAGCTATGCGCCCCGACTTGAAAGGTAAGCGCACTATAAACCTACCATTAGAATTGCGAGAATGAGTCTCTACAAAATGTTTTTCGCAAAGTATATCCTCAGGATCCTGTACGTGATGTGCTGGAACCTCCTCAACCTCCCAAAACCTTGAAAGAATGGAGTTGAGATCAGCAGTACAGGCCATTGATAGAGCTTGATGCGAAATGTCAGAGTCCAATGGGGCTCTACCCATCAGAATCCAGCCAAAAATAGATGAGTATGCTGAAGGAAATCCTTCACCTAAAGATAGCTTGCGTCCGTTAAATATTTGTTCATAGAGCTCTACCCCTATAAGAATATCTATGGGTCCAGGTACAGAAAATTTGTCATCAGCCAACTGGATGTCTCTACATCTTCTAGCGACCTCTTGAGAGATTTTAGTGCTAGGAAGAACACCAGTAATAGGCTTTAGTATAACTGCAGTGGTTTCCAATGGCGGAGAGGTTGGATCCATTATAGATTGTATGGCACACTGGACACTTACGAAGAGTTGTCCACTGTGTTTGCTAGAGCCGAGGCTGTTTTGAACTCTAGACCGTTATGTCCTCTTACAGATGACGTGTCCAATCTTGATACTTTGACTCCTGGTCATTATCTTATCGGCCAGCCTTTGGTCAGCTTACCGGAAGAAGCATCTGATGATTCTCAAGTCCCATTACTCAAACGTTGGAAGCTAGTGCAACAAATCTCGCATCACTTTTGGCAAAGATGGCAGGGTGAATATCTTCACAATCTTCAACAGCGCGCTAAATGGTGCAAAACCATCCCCAATTTGATGTTGGGTGACCTGGTTTTAATTAAAGACGATCACACTACACCCCTTAGGTGGCGAAAGGGACGAGTATCTGCGCTCCATCCTGGAACAGATGGCGTGGTACGCGTTGTAGAGATAAGGACCAGTTCCGGGTCTTGTCTCAGATCGTTAACTAAGGTGTGTCCATTGCCAAAATGCGATACAAATTAATATAAAACAAATTTTATATACTTAATTACTTTTTTTTTAACTTAGCTTTATTATCAAACATATTTTTTATATACATTTTAAATTAACTTCATGGTACATCAGCGGTTTGTGCAATCAATCCTATAGGTAAATCAGCTTGGTTAAAAGTTTTTATTGGATTTTGCATTCTTACCCATGCGGAATTCAGCTTAATTCGGAAAATCAACTCGGTTAGTTTTGAAATTGAAATCAACTTTATTCGGAAAATCAACTCGTCAATTTTAGAATATGCTAAAGAGCTTAGCAGCTCTTTGGGGGGCGGTCATGTTCGGTTTCAAATATATTGAATGCGTATAACGTAACATTACATCCGCTTACCCACCTTTTCCTATCCCTTGGACGATTTTTTATTGTAATACGAGGGTAGACAGGCAGTATCTGTCAGCTGCCTGTTACTACTACGACGCCACAGCGATCGGACGACTTATGAAAAGCCCCGATCCAAATTACATATAGTCAGCGCGTCGGTTGTTCAACGAGCACAAAGGAACATCATCAAATCACCAAGATTACGTGAAGGACAGTTAGGACTAGCTCAAGATAACATTCCTACAACATCCGGAAACTTACGAAAATACAGGCAGACCAGCGCTGCTCTAGAGGCTATCGGAGAAAAATAAAAAATCGTAAGTCCAAATCACTTTCTGTCCCGCACAGACCTCACAAACGAAAATATCCGTAGTAATTTAATTATGTTAATAAGAATTTCGTTTGGTTACGTCTTTCATTTATTTTTAACTACCGTTACGACCAAAATTGTTTATGTAAATTAGTAAAACTAACCTTTACTTCCCAATGGGTATGTATTGTATACATTTTCACGAGCTGTATGGGACAGAAGTGGTTTAAATGAGGAGGTCGTAAGGGACTTTGTTTAAGAAGATAAACAATTTAGAGTATTTTCAATAGCTACAGGTTAAAGAACTCAAAATTTTATGTATGCTTTCCTTTGAGATGATCAAAATAGGCGTACAATATAAAAAGTTACAGGTGTTTAAAATAAAATAAAAATGTTTTTGGCTTCTCCTGAAAAGTAATGGTTTGTCCCTTACGCCAATTGAAATTACGGTCGACGATATGCACCAAAGTGTATTCGGATTCTTTGTCTTGGATAAATAATCAAAATAGACAAGAAGTACTGATTCTGAAATTGATAGGCCTTTCGCACTTTTCCACGTTTTGCATTTGCATTGATGGAATCCGACAATTCACTGTCACTGTCGCTTTCATTTAACATGGTAACGTATTTTTAGAACATTAACTTATTTATAAAAATAAATTTTAATAAACTCAACGTTTATGTATTTGAAGAAAACAAAAACGTGGCAAATTCCTAGACTAATATTTTTTTGTCGGAAAAGCAAAGGCATCAAGCTCTTACGGCCTCGTCGATTTTTGTAATTTTATTTAATAATCATAACTGCACAATAAATGCGTATTCCTTTTTCATAAAATTTTTTAGTTCTCGTTACGTACTTTGTGCCGCTGCTGTTCAAGTTTCCATACAAAATTTGACATTGACATTTCGGTTTGCAAACTATACGAATTCGATAATGGTTCGTGCTAGGGGTATCGCGTAAACACTACCGCCCTAGGTATATTTTCCTTGCAGTTCTGAAAGAAAATGGCTTATAAAGACAAATAAATTCCGTGCTCTACGCAACACGGTCGACGTGGCTAGGACAAACAGGATATATAAAACATACTTAGGTAACCTTCATTGGAGAGATAACGTACATCTTACCATTCAAGGCCATATTTTATTTCTCGCATTAGTGACACGACTCTGCATTCATGTCAGAAGTTTGTTCTTCAAGATGTTCACTGTCCAACAGTTTGATGCAGTCATAAAATTTATGATAAACTTATGTTGCGTCATACCTATCACGCATTGACAAGGACTTTTTACTGATACTAAGTACAGGACTTACGATAGGCATTGTTGTTATTGTTTAGTCGTTATAAAAAATAAAAGCTTATCCAGTAATTTAATACCGGTGATACTAATTTAGACACCATTTCCAGACAGTATCTTACATATTAGAAATAACGTTTTGGTGATCGATTGCAAAAGTAGGTAATCCTTTCAATATAATCCTCTTATTAAATCATATGATTAACATTTTTAAATTGATTAGGTGCTTTAACTTTTAGTACCTAAACCAGGATTTTTTTTTATTCTTAGGCCATTTGCAGTAAATTTGCTAAATCTCGATTCAATTAAAATTAGTTATATCCCATAGAAGTAATGTCAAAACGTCAATGTCCATTTGAAATCATTTTATGAGCTAAATTTAGTTTAAGTTAAATTGAGATTTAGCTAAATTGCGGCAAGTGGACCTGAATTATCGTAGTAGTAAAAAATATTTATTTTAGTATTAAGTAGGTACATAAGTTGTTTTGCGTTTCGCCAGCGCCGCGTGAACTACAACTTTAACCCCAGGTTTCCACTCGTTTTTTGCTTTTCTAAGAAATTTGATGCCTAATCACTAACTCCTTACTCCCAAACATTAACAAGTTCAAAAATTGCCTATTAAAACTTTCCTCCTCCTATTACTGCTATTACTCGCAGTATTGAATGAATGAATAATTTGCCGCTGTTTGATTTAATAAAAAATGTACCAGTTAACTTTTATTAATAGCATTAATGTTGAAAATAGATATACTTCCATACATTTTTTCATCTCTATTCAACTTCATAGACATAAGGCACGCATTTTCATAAAAATACAGAAAGCTTTCGCATCTAAGTAATGATAATATCGTCTAGCAAAATTCACATTTTTATTTCGAAAATTCTCAGTTTTTTTCAAAATGTTGTCCCCTATTCTAACCTCTTATGGGCCAAAATTTCGCTAATAGCTATTCTCCTAAAAAGTAAAGATATGGACTTCATACACAACAGTAAAAGTTGTTGTTATATGGGTAAGAAGTGTACCTTGTTTTCTGTCTCACTCAGTATCACAGGATGAGAGATCTATGTTATGTGTTCACGATACTCCACTAAAACTATGTATTAATGTTCATTAAGTTGTTATTAATACATAAAAGTGTAATGAATACAGGACCATAGGTAAATTCAGTCTTAAAGTTCGTTTCTTCGACTGCCGTGTACGAGTATAAACAATCATTTTGTTATTAAAAATTGTGTCAAAACTTAGTGATTACGAAATATATTGCAAGGATATTTATTTACTACCTAAATGTTATTAGTTATTATAGTTTTGAATTTTAAAACATTATGTATGTAGGTACATCAAGAGGTAGTCTTTGTAAACAATACTCACTACTTTCTTGTTTTGGTTTTCCAGCAACTAACACAATTAAGAGAAATAAAGTATACCAATTATGCATTTTAACCGAACAAATCACTTATATTGTAAAGTCATTTCACACGAATCTGTTATTCAGAAAACTTGAAAAAAACTGAGTGGACATTCGCTAGATCACATTCTTTCTTGTTCAGTGTTGGCCACAATTTACATGAAATATGGCACGGTGATAAGTTATCACTATCAGTGATCTACTGTGTTACGATACGGTATTATCACAACCAACACGTCAGTTTCAGCACGTACTTTTGTCTATTCTATTAATATTCTTAAGTTAGAATACTTAATTAATTTGTTGCAGTTATACATAATAATAGTAACTTTAGATTTATTTTTAATGAAGTAAAGTATGAGTACTTTACTTATGCATAATTTATTCTGGAATTTTAACTAGATACTGTCGTTTTTGCGAATAATATATAAAAAGTGATGTGATTGTACTAAACATAGGTCTATTAAAAAAGTTCATTGATCGAATAAGTCTTGTAGGTATATTGTATCGTGATTTGTATTTTTTGCCTTATCGATAAGAAGACTTATAATCTCACATTATTAATGTCTTGGTAAGTAGGTACTTATCTTTCTCATTGTTTGTCTGCAGTACAAAAAAGAAAAACTAAGTACACATACGTACAAAATAATCGCATATGTAATGTGAGTGCACAGTGGTCGACTGATCCGATTCAATTTGTCGACATCTGACGGCGTCGAGGCGGTGTGTCCCCTGACCAGGGCCGGATTTAAAGATGTGGAGCCCTGGGGCAATGAAAGAGTGGGGGCCCGTATTTTAAAATCTGGCAACCTGGGTCACCATTTTTTTTGTGGTGGCCATGGTTGGTGACCCGTCGAAATTAAGTTTTTTTTCTCTGCTTTAGGGGGACTCTCTTTTGTGGGAGCTTCTGGGCAACAGCCTTTCTGCCCTCCCGTAAATCCGGCCATTCCCTTGACTTTGGTTGCCGGGCCATTTGTGGCGATTACTAGTTTTCTAATTCCAAAAATTATGTTAACTACAACTGCCTGCACACACTTGCTAGCAACCACCGTAGATTTCGATTATTATTTCTATCTGCTGGTTGTACCGAATTGGTACAGTATCGTTACTACCGATATTGAGTCAAAATAAAAATATTAGGTATTCCTAATGTATTGCGCTGATAAGGAATCGATATAATGTGGAAATAAGTTTAATAATACACCTGCTCCGAAAGTCCTTTATATTTATTTTTAAAATGAAGCAGAAAGGACCTCATTGCTGTTATACTACTAAGCGGGCTGGAAAAGTATATGGAAATCCATTTTTAACGCGCTATAAGCGGGCGAAAAAGTCTACGAAAATTCATTGTTAACATGCTGTGAATTTTTTAATTTATCTTTCGAATAGTGGTCAATATGACTGTGCACTGTAGGTATGGTATAAAGCACTATGTATCCCTCGAAAGAAAGTGCTTTTCCAAACTCGGGTGTATTAAGGCCCTTGGCTGTGCCTCGGGATTCAAAATACACCCTCGTTGGTAATCGGTCACTCTCACTTCTCAGTGAACAATGTAGTATTTTCTGCCAGTTTGTGGCTGGCTTCCGTTCCTCTTACGCATACGGGATTGGTAGGCAGGCTCCTCCGCTCTCATTCTATCCCGCAGCTCTAGCCGTATAGTTCAACATAAATTAGTTTAAGTTATCACTTCTGTCGTACCCAGCGTTGCCAGTTATTTTTGCCAAGACGGAATTTAGGACTTTTTTTGGGATTCTGTAGTCAAAAGCGGGACATATTAACAAAAAAATATATAATCCAAAGTTTTGTATGTTTATTTATCTTTTTATTTGAGTTCAAATTACGTTTACGTGATAAAAGATAGATACCTAGTAAAAATATCCATAGAAAGTGTATTTTAATAAAAATATGATATTTTTTATCAGATTTACCCAATCGTTAAATAGTTGAGTCTTTGTTTGAGAGCTCTTCATTACGCGCCGGGCAGGCGGCGGCGGCCCGTTTTTGGCCAGTCCACACTTGTCTGTGCCACCCGCCCTCGCTTTCTCAATGCGCTGCACGCACGGTTGAGTTATTCCCGAAAAGCGGGATTGAGCCTGTCCCGCACGGGACATTTAATTTTGATTTAAAAATCGGGACATCCCGCCAAAATTGGGACGTCTGGCAACGTTGCTCGTACCCCCCTTTTTAATGTGTTTGTGTGTAATGTGTGTCTGGGATATACATGACTGTAACCGTTACACACCGGGAAACTTGCATGCACATGCTCCGTGGGCTCCTCCCTGCCATTATACCCAGCACATGCTCGATGAAATGACAAGGCCCTACCCGGTAAAAACCAGACAATACTCCCAACATGCACATATGCAACACATATAAGGACCAAGTTCTCTCCAGTGCATGTCGAGAGTGCGGGGGTAATGCGCGTTAGCACTTCGCCTTCGTCCCCGCTGGTGATTGTCCATTGCCGGACCCACCCCGATGTGCGGTTCCTCGGAGCATTTGGGGCACCACCCATTACAAGAACCATGTAATGCAGGCTGGTGTTCCCTAGCCACCCCGTTGGCTGGCGGAGGCCCGGAGGAGCTCCCCATCATTACCTACTACTATGATATAGGTAGGTGAATAGAGTATTGTCGTGCCCGGACAAAATTACATAGTAACTTGGACGACCACAGAATTATTCAATTGTGATTGTGAAATAGGTAGACATCATAAAAAAAGTGCAAATAATTATCACACTAATATTATAAAGTGTATGTTTGTTACTTCTTCACGTCTAAACAGCTGGAGCGATTTTAATAAATTTGGTATGGAGTTAGCTGACACCCTGGATTAACACGTAGGCTACGTTTAACTGCGGGAAAATATCCCTAATAAAATGCGGGTAACACCGCGGGGCACAGCTAGTATTTCATATAAGTACTGTACTCGTATTCTATGATTTTCTTTCTAAGGAATCTATAACGAGTTCCTTACATTTTGATTAGCTATTATAATTTGCGCAACTCCATTGGATGAACATTAATCATCAGAAAATTTGAAAAGGCAATTTCAGGTTTGGCAACTTTAATTAAAAATTTCGCGTGTGTCAGATTCAGTCGCAAAAGGTCTGATAAAGGTTGCGATGTCTCTGCGCTTCTAAGAAATTCGTAAAAATTTAAACATTTTCTCTTAACACCGTAAGTGAAAAACGGAGTTACATAAATAAATGTATATTTATGTAACAACGTTTTTCACTTACTGTTGAAATCCAAATCTTTGTTCATGTTTCATATATGATGGTAAAAGAATTTGATATACTTACTTTAAATGAAACACGCTCAAACGGGTTCAAAATGCATGGTTTGGAACTGGTGGTAGTTTACGGTAGTTAGGGTCAAATAAATAATACAAAAATTAAAAAATATTGAATTCAAAATTCAATATCGTTTATTCATTCTAGGCTGTTACAAGCACTTGTGAATGTCGAAAAGCTACGCCATCGGTTCGCAAATCTACGGCGGGAGACCTTGTACTGAGAAGAACCAGCAAGAAACTCAGCAAGGGCTGTTTTTTTCTCCTTGTATTATATACAGAGTCGTCAATTTGAAAAATGACTTCAATATGAGATAATTCATGAAGTCACTTTCCATTACAAATGTAAATGATAAAACAATTATGACTATATAATAAAAATATAAAAAACAGATTTAAAAAAAAAAGTTTAGGAATGCCGTGTCCTACTGTTTAGTCATAAAAACAAATGTACCATTAAAGTTAAATACAATGATTAATAGTACCCAATGTAGCAAGAGCAGACTCATCTCCGCTGGCAGCACCCGTTCACGAGCATGACGCATGAACCAGTCATCGCTTCGCTCAACCATTTTTTAGGGAACGTAACGACCCGCCTCACGCCTCACAACACCGCCGAAGAGATTTTTAAGAGAGCATGACTACTCATAACCACATATGGACACTAGATAGCAAAATAGGGAGAAGAAAAATTAAGTACCAGTGTATGTACATTACTATAAAAAGCTATAAACACAACTAGGACACATGCATTATTAAATCCAAATCTAATTTTATTATATTTATTAAAATTAGATTTGGCTGTTGTACATACCTTTTTGAAGGTTTTAGCGTAACATTTAACGTAATCAATAAAACCTTGTGAATGACCATATTTTCTCAGATGATACAATTCATAAAGTTTGTTTCTACTTTTATAGATACCAGTCGTAGCCCAATCACAGAACTGTAACTTCTGAGTGAGTTTCGAAGTTTTTAAGGGAAAAGCCTTATCGAATTCATTTCTTATTAGATTAAAAAGATCCCCAAAAAGAATATCAGGATCATCATGTGTCCATGGGATATGAGAAATCCTATCATCAACTTGTTTTCTGTTACTGGTCTCAATTCAATAACTTTGGTTTCATTTTTGAAATCTATTTCATATTGTATTTTTAAGCCATAATGGTCAGATGTAATACTATTAAAAATAGACTTATTATCAGGAGGACTATCTGTGGATCAACCAGCAGGGTACCGTCCGGTAGTGCTGCTGGACGAGGTCGGCAAATTTTTGGAGAGAATCATTGCCGACCGTATCGTCCAGCACCTAGAGGAGACTGGGCCAAATCTGGCGCCCTGCCAGTTTGGGTTCCGCAGGGGTAGGTCCACAGTAGATGCGGTGCAGGAGCTGAAAAGGATGTCGGAGGAGGCAGCGGAGAGAGGGGAGAGTGTTCTCGCTATATCATTGGATATAGCGAACGCTTTTAACACACTCCCCTTCAGCTGTATTGAAAAGGCCCTGCACTACCACGAGGTCCCGCTGTACATAAGAAGAGTGGTCGGGAACTATCTGCGCAACCGGGAGCTCCTCTACTATGATGCGGTTGGGGAGGTTAAGGTGAGGAGCATGGTATGCGGGGTTCCACAGGGGTCGGTGCTGGGACCGCTCCTCTGGAACCTCGCCTACGACTGGGTCCTCAGGGGGACGCTTTTGCTCCGAACAGCGGTTATCTGCTATGCGGATGATACGCTGATAGCTGTTAGGGGCAAAACATACGAGGATGTCCGGCGGTTGGGGTCAGCGAGTGCCTCGCTGATAATAAGGAGGATGCTGGGGATTAAGGTGGCAGCGGGGAAGACAAGGGCCGTGATGTTTAACAGCTCCATGGGTAAG